CTTCGGCAAGCCGAAGCTTATATACCCTTGCAGTCATCAAATATGTCGAACAAAATGCATAAAGACTAGACAACATCAAAGCTAAGACGATTTATCTTTTAATTTTCCATTTTTTATATTATATATATACATATATATATATAGGTGTCCGATTTTGATCAAATTTAGTTCGTAATTCAAGAGTCGTATGAAAACTATATATTCCAAAAAGCATACTAGTCTGATTAAAAACAACGATGTTATAATTTTATTTCCGTTATTTCTATATAGATTTGACTATGATATAGTTGTCCGATTTTGATAAAATTGAATTTGTGATTCAAGAAAACTCTATATTCCAAAAATCATGGTTTTCTGATGAGAAATAACGATGTTATCATTTTATTTCCGTTAATTCTATATAGATTTTTCGATCTTTCCTATGGCAGCTATATAATATAGTTGTCCTATTTTTATGAAATTTTTTTTTTTAAATCAAGGGTAGTTAAAAAATTTGATACTCAAAAATTTATAGTCGTGTGATGAAAAACAATGACGTTATCAATAAATTTCCATTAATTCTATATATATTTTTTGATCTCTCCTATGTCAGCTATATGATAGAGTTATCCGATTTCGATAAAATTTAAACCGAAATTCAATAGTAGTTATAAAACGCCATCTGGAAGAAATCCAGTCGATCTGATGAAAAACAACGGAGCGAGATTTTTTTTTTCAATCTCTCGTATGGGAGCTATCCGATATAGTCGGCCGATCTGGCTCGTTCAGACTTATATACTGCGTGTCATAACTACACAACTTTTGGAAAAGTTTCAGCAAGATAACTTCAAAACTGAGAGACTAATTTACATAGAAACAGACAGACGGACAGACGTACAGACGGATTTCGATTCAGATCGTGATGCTGATCAAGGGTCTGAGGTGCCTCCTTTACTGCGTTGCAAACTTCTGACTGAAATTATAATACCCTTTGCTCTGCAAGGGTATAAAAATAAAAAAATAGACATTATACAAGCTGGTGTCATTCTTATAAATGGTAACACTATTGTTAACAACTCCTGTTTGGAGATTTCTCTCTGTTATGTCTATGTAAAGCGGGGATCGGGGCTTAATAAAGCTTTCTCGCTCAGGCGAATTCGGCCGCCGATCTCCCGCTCAGTACTTTAGGTATAGGCATGTAAGAGAATTTTGTGAAATTAAAAGTTAGTTGAAAATCGAACTCCCAGTCGTACGTACTGCGTAACTTTCGTATCGATCTCGTTTTCGTATTTTTACTAATAAACCATCGCAAAAAGAAATAACCACTGCAATCGCAACAGTTTTCGTTAATTCGACAATAAAAACGCTTATTGAATTTTCATGGTGACCCCGACGTGATCAGCAGTTGGTTTTTTCTCTTTTTTTCGCATTTTTTTGGTGTGTGATAAACAATTCAAACAACAAACATTTCCGCGTCGGTGTTTCTACAACAATCAAAAACCAAAAACAATTCTCCGCGTCGGTTTAAATAAAGTGCAAAGGTGCCAATAAACAATTATTTGTCGTCGTTGGACTTTGCTGCTGAAGAAGCCTTGTCGTCGCTGCCGCTGGAGAAGATTGTTGTTGCTGCCAAGAAGCCCTTTTGTTGCCGCTGGATTTGTTTGATTGCTGCCAAAGGCCTTGTCGTCGTCGCCGCTGGAACTGATTACGCAATTCGCACCCTATATACCCAGGCATATGGATCCGAAAAGGGAAGTCGCTGATCAGACCGAATCGGCCAGCCAGGCATAGAGTGTAAAAAGTTGAAAGTTAATTTGTGGCGTTTTGTTAAAATTGTGTTCGGCCAATCTTTCAACTTTTTGCATTCGTGTAAAATCGGTAGATATTGAGCATTCTAACCAAAAAATTTGATTTTCGCATGCACTAACAACTTTGATTCGAATATATATTATATTGATATACCCATATATTTATATTAAACTGAAAGTGAATCGCTTTGGACCTTTAAAAATAAATATTCGTTGACCCAATAAGTGCAAATTAAATCCCCCAATTTGTCGTAGAGAGCACCAATTTAGGGTTAAAAATTAAGGCCGAAAATAAAGTGATTTAAATAGTGCATCCAGTGAACTATTGTGCAAAGAAAATCGCGGAAAAAACCTGTGCGCGCATTTTCATTACCAAATTTGCCGCGCTTTTCCGTCATTTTCCCAAGCCTTAGCGCCATTTCCCGCGCTTCTGCATCTCGCTTATATATTCGTTGCCCTTATATATCGGTCAGTGCATCATTTTCCGCTAGTCGGAATTTCCAAAGAGTGAGCCGCCAGCTAAAAACAGACATACACACACACGCACTCTCACCCACGCAGCGCTGCCAGTGTTTTTTGATCTCGCTTTCGCGCTTTTCGTTTTTGGTCGCTGGACTATTGCGAGCGTTTTTTGTGTTATCGCTGTGTTTCGGTATTTGCGCTGAGCGTGTGCTCCTCTACAATTTGTGCGTGGGGCTTATTAGTTCCGTAAGGAATTAATAAATTAATTATTATTCTTCTAATTGACTTCGTTAAATTTGTCCGACAAATCCCCTACACTGCAGACGTTCGGCATATACCACTCGTTTATTTTTTTTATTTGTTTCAATAATAAAGAATAAATTAAAATTTTTTATTTTAATTTTGTTTTTTTTTTTATTTTGAATAAAAAATAAATTCCCAGCCTTCGATTGCCAACCAAATTTACTTAAATAACAAATCAAAATGAGCAACAAGGAAATCGAAGCGCTAAAAAATAAACGAGACGGAATTATGCGAAGTATATCCCGAACTCAACAATATTTGGAAGAGGGTAGATTATCTTTGAATCCAGTCGAATTAGAATGTCGTTTAGAAATTTTAAGTTCGCACATCGAAAATGCTTCGACAATCCAAAACCAAATCGAAGCGAGAGATCCGGAGGATTTGGTTCGGGAAGAATTGGAAGAGACCACTGTATTGGCCAAGTCCCTGCTAATTTCTTTAATAAACAAAACCAGGCGTACGAGCGTCGATGAATCCGCTCCACCGGCAAGGCGCACTCCCCAATGCCGCCTGCCGAGCGTGTCTCTTCCAACATTTAGCGGAAAGCACTCCGAATTTAAAAACTTTATAAGCCTTTTCGAAACGTTTGTCGACAAAGATGACACTTTGCACGATATTGAGAAATTTAACCATTTAATATCGTGTCTGGCTGGAGACGCTTTAGGCACAGTCAGGGCATTTCAAGTCACCGCGGCCAATTATCCCAAGGCCCTGGCTAGCCTGAAGCGGGTGTACGATAATGATTGTCTGATTTTCTTCGACAATATATCGACACTTTTTAATCTGCCAAAAATGTCCCAGCCATCAGCTACAGCCTTGAGGAACCTGATCGACACAGTCAGAGCTCTATACGATTTGTTGCTGTCCATTGGGGATGACAAACGTATAACGAATGCCATCCTCATTCATCTAATCATGAGCAAAGTCGATGCAGGGACAAAAGAAAGTGGGAAGAACAGTTGGACTATACTTCGCTTCCGCTTTGGAGCGAATGTGAGTCGGCTCTGGACAGGCGATACCAACACATGGTCGCCGAAGAGGCTTCCAAGCCGAAAAATGTTCAGCCAAGCCAGACTTTTCCGAAGAAGAGTGGAAATAAAAGTTTTTCATTGATCGCTGCCAGGGACGACTCTTCTTTATATGTGTTTTGCACATCAGCAGAGCATCAAGTAGGAAACTGCGCTTCTTTCGCAGCTCTAACAGTGCAGCAGAGGTTCGATTTTGCCAAGAAAGTGCCCTTATGCATTAACTGCCTTCGCAAGGGTCACACGGTGAAGAAATGCAAATCGAACAGGTGCAGGGTGTGCAAATCTTCACACCACACTTTGCTGCACATATACTCGCCTAAGACAAATCTCGCGTTGCCGCCTCCTCCTCAGCCCACGCTCATGCAAGAGACTCCATCCACTTCACATGTTTTGCATGCGACTGCTTCGGATAGATTCATTCTTGCCACAGATGTCGTGAGCGTATTATCGAAAAGTGGCGAATTTGTTGTGGCTCGAGCGTTGCTTGACTCTGGTTCACAAATAAATTTTGTGACCGACGAGCTCGCTCAGAGACTACAAATTAAAAGAGAGGATGTGTGTATGAGCTTGCGGGGCATTGGTCAAGCTAATGCCCAAGCAACAAAGAAAATAAATACAATAGTGAAGTCGCGAGTAGGGAGCAGCCAGTTGTCGTCCGATTTTTATATCTTAAAGAATATTTCTGGTTATCATCCGGATTGTTGGAGCAGTAGATTTAGTTTTATTGTTAGTTTTAAGGATAGTTGAAAGAAAGAATGAATTGAATATATGCAGCCAGAGTGTAAACAAATCACTTTAAACCAATGTACAAAAGCTTATCAGTTGCACTCAAGCTTGAGCATAGCCGATCTAGCTGATAAGCTTTTCTGTTCGTGGCTATGCGAAATGATATGCTGCTCTCGGGAGATGATTAACCGATCGAACCTCGAAGCAGCTGGCAGCAGCAATAAACGTATTGGAACCAAATTCGTTCTCGTCTTGTTTTTCGCCTTCTTAAAAATTCCCCAGCAGCTAGTCGCCAGTCTCATTTGTTTAATTATTTAAACGTAATTTTTTCCGGGAAAACTCTCCCGGATTCACATTGGCGCCCGAGCAGGGACAACGGCTAGTTTTGCATTAATTTTCGCGTCGGAAAAATTAAACAAAAAACAGTGCACTCTCGTCGTCTCGGCACTTGTTTAGTTTTTTGTAAATTGTTGGCGGAAATTCTAGCTGGTGGAATTCGGTTTAATTGTTGGCGATCGCAGTTCGGACTTGAAAGGAAAGTGCTTGGAAAATTATGCCTAACAACAACCAGGTATTCAGTGCCAAAAATTAAAATTTGTGAGCATGGTATTAATTCTTGGCACCTACTTATATTGGAAATATTATTAAACCCCCAAATATACCCAAACTTCCAAATGTTAATTAAAACTTCCAAATGATTAATAAAAAAGTGAACTGCCTTTGACAAAACTTATGGTGTTTTAAATTCTACGAAAATTTGAAAATTCTATGTGCGTTATATACATACGGTGCAACCGCAAAAGTGCAGCTATATCTACATACATATGTACAAACATACCAGCGTTTCGCCGCCAATTTTCGATTCCCTTTTGTGCAGTTGCAGAGCAGTTATTTGTCTGCTATATATAAGTGTCAGTGGCTTCTATGCTGTACATATGTATGTAAAACAACGCATCAGTTAATTTTTAGCGCCAGTTTCAGCGGCAGTGGCTTTCAAACTGTATACAGCCAACAGTTCCTACAAAACTCGGCAGTGAATTTAAGCCCTGCCTACAGTTTATGTTTATATGTATGTACATATTTGCCTGGATATTAATTCGGTGTATACTCAGAGATTCGGCCTGGAGAAAAATCTTTAATACATTTGTTGGTTTTTTTGTCGGTGTTTGTGGGCATCTTTAACCCGTACGGGATCCACTTAAATAGTTTGGACAATTTATTTGTCAAATAAAATTCAACATTTGTGCATTTTTTTCGGCTTTGGTTAAACGGCAAACACACATACAAACATATTTTGTGCATTTTGGTGGTGCTTCTGTGCACATTTAACCCTTATTCAACCCAATAAAAATTTTTTAGAGGAATTAAATTTTTTAATTTTTAAAATTTAAAATTTAGATATTGGTGGAAATTTATTAAGGAAGCATTTCGAGCATTTGGAAATAAATTTATTTAACCCTTGTGTCCGACTGTTTTTACTTGGAATATTTTATTCATTTAAATTAACCTAAAATGTCTGAAAAAGAAAAGGAAGCATCGTCAAAGCCTAGTGCTAAATTAATAGTGGCTATGCAAAAACACGGCAGGGTGATGAGTGATATTCAACGTATGAGAACGTCATTCGAGGAAAAAACCATTTCATTCGATAGGTTTCAAATGGAATACCGAATGCAACTTCTCGAAACATATTGCGAGAAATTGATGGATATCCAAGGAGATATCGATGTGCTAAATCCAGTGAATGATTTAAGAGCGTCTGTTGAGGAGATGTGCATAATTACGAAAGCGTTATATCGGTCCGCAATGAGAGAATTCGAGCCTCAGAGACTTAGTCAAAGTGATATAGGTGGTTATCGTCATTCGTCTCAGTTACCAAAAATGAATCTACCGAAATTTAGTGGAAAACATTCCGACTACAAAAATTTTATAAGTCTTTTTGAGAGTTTAGTTCACAACGACCCATCTCTAACAAACATAGAGAAATTTAACCATCTGCTAACATGTTTAACAGATGATGCATTAGGTACTGTGAAAGCTTTTCAAATTTCGGATCTAAATTATGAGAAGGCATTGGCTAGTCTAAAAAACGTGTACGACAATAAATGTTTGATCTTTTTTGACACGATTTCTCAGCTGTTTGACCTCCCGCAAGTATCAAAACCCTCTGCATCAGGCTTGAGGTCTCTTATAGATGAAATATCGGCCCTCTATGCATCGTTACAGTCTCTGGGTAGTGAAAAAGAAATAAACAACGCAATTTTTATTCACATAGCAATGTCCAAAGTAGATCACACAACAAAATCCAGATTTGAGGAACAGCTAGATTATAATACGTTGCCGACGTGGTCTGATTGTGCGACTCTGTTGAATCGGCGATACCAACATTTGGCTGCTGAAGAGTCAACCAAAAGTAAAGGGAAGCCTAACCAAGGTTCCAATAGAGGATATTCCAAATCGTCCTTCTCATGCACACAAACAGATCGCAGACCTGAATCAAAATGTCGATATTGCTCAGCGACAAACCATAGTTTAGGCAGTTGTCAACCTTTCATGGCTTTGTCAGTGATCCAACGGTTCGATTTTACAAAACACAATCGGTTGTGTATTAATTGTCTGAATCCAGGTCATCCAGTCAAGAAGTGCAAAGCAGTAAAGTGTCGCGTTTGCTCCAAACCTCATAACACACTTCTTCACAGATACGGAGTAGAGCAGCAACCAACTTCTTCGGGATCACTTCCTCAAGTGCAAGCCCAAGCATCTTCAGTAGCATTTGATCATCCCAATCAAGCCCATTCTTGTCATGTTGCAAGTAGTGACCAAGTTATTCTTGCTACGGCTGTCGTTAAGGTACGGGATAGATTTGGACAGTTTCAATTAGCACGAGCTCTGTTAGACTCAGGGTCTCAAATAAACTTTATGGCCGAGGACTTAGCACAGCGTTTGCGGTTACGCAGGAAAGAATCCTATTTGAATGTCACCACTGTAGGGAAGAACGACTCGGTAGTACGGCACAAAGTCCACACGTCGATTCATTCTCGCGTCAATGCTCATAGTTTCGCTACTGATTTTTGGGTATTAAGCTCCATTTCATCATATCAACCAGATAATGAAGTCAATTGTGCACAGTGGAAAATTCCAGCAAATATTGAATTAGCGGACCCTCGTTTTCACAAGCCCGCAAAAGTAGACTTACTAATTGGGGCAGAATCCTTTTTCGAACTTCTCAGCGTAGGCCAAATAAAATTGGGTTCAGAATATCCTTCAATCCAGAAAACTCTCTTAGGATGGATTGTTTCGGGAAAGTACACTCAACGCGTATCGAATAATGCCCAAGTATGCAGCGTCACTGGTAGTGAAAATATAAGTTCTCTCGACTCTCTTGTAGAACGTTTTTGGGAATTGGAACACGTCCCGGAGAGATCGAAGGCTGTGTATACAGCTGAACAAGCAGCTTGCGAGCAGCACTTTGAGAAAACAGTACACAGGCTTTCGTCAGGTCGGTTCGAGGTAAAGTTGCCATTTAAGACAAATCCAAGTGTTTTAGGCTTATCCTTCGAAACGGCAAGGCGCAGATTTCTTGCGTTGGAGCGCAAGCTTGCAAATAATTGCGAGTTACATGACATGTATCAAGAGTTTATGAAAGAGTATCTTAACCTTGGGCATATGTCGCTGCTTCCAACACCTCCTCCAGGACAACACTATTACATTCCACATCAATGTGTCCTGAGACCTGATAGTAGCACCACAAAGTTGCGAGTTGTTTTTGACGCTTCAAGTAAAACGTCAACCTCGATCTCATTAAATGAGACTTTAATGGTGGGTGCAACGATTCAGAGGGAGCTTTACGCTATTTTGGCAAGATTTCGATTACACAAGTATGCCTTGACTGCTGACATCTCGAAGATGTATAGGCAAGTTAACATTGCCAATGAAGACAGAAGTTTCCAACTTATCGTGTGGAGGGAAAAGTCGACGCAAGCTCTACAAACTTATCGCCTCAACACTGTCACTTATGGAACAGCCTCTGCTCCGTTTTTGGCCATTCGTTGCCTCTTTGAATTGGCAAAAATTTACTCTGAGTCACATCCTGTCGCATCAGAGGTAATTTCAAGCGACTTCTATGTAGACGATATGCTCACAGGAGCAAACAGTTTAGAAGAGTTGGAAGTCATTCGCAAAGAAGTGATCAAGGTGTTAGAGTTAGGTGGCTTCCAGCTGGCCAAATGGGCAACAAATCACCCAAGTTTGATGACTAACCAGGGATCGGAAAAATCGCTTATGTTCAACACTTCCGAGTCTGTGAAAACGCTTGGGATGAGATGGAACCCTCAGAGTGATGCCTTTCATTATAGTTTGGAGGATTCGTTTCAGTCCCTACCACCAACTAAACGCAACATTTTATCCGTCACAGCCCGTTTGTTTGATCCCTTGGGATTGTTGTGCCCGCTGATCACGAGAGCTAAAATCTTGCTTCAGGAACTGTGGCGACAAAAACTGGATTGGGACGAATCGGTTCCTATGAATTTACATACCAGTTGGAATGAATTCAAACAAAATTTATTAGAAATTGACCGGATATCCATTCCTCGATACATTTGTTTGTCTTCCTATGACAGTGTTCAAATCCACGGATTTGCTGATGCATCAAGCCACGCCTATGGCTGTTGCATTTATATTCGTACCGTGGCTGGGACAAAAAGTTTGTCGAGACTGCTGACCGCCAAGTCGAGAGTGTCTCCCCTCAAAACCAAATCGATTCCAAGGCTCGAGCTGTGTGCAGCGCATCTGCTTGCCAAATTATGGGCTCAAGTATTTCCCTTGCTTAACAAATTAGAGTTTGAAAGCATCAACTTCTGGTCGGATTCCCAAGTGACTTTATACTGGCTAAAGAGGGATCCGTCCACTCTAGGTACATTTGTCGCGAATAGAGTTTCTGAAATTCAAGAGCTCTCAGAGAATGTTGTCTGGCGTCATGTGCCCACGGAAGATAATCCAGCCGATTTAGTATCACGAGGGACAGATATAGAGGGTTTAAAATGTACGCTATGGGAAAATGGACCAGAATTTTTACTCCGACATCCTAACGAGTGGCCTCGTTCTCATCAAACTGAAGTTTCACCGGAGTTACAGTTGTCCGAGAACAAGAAAAGCGTGACAGTATGTTCCGTCACAACAAATCAACCGAATGTCTTCATTGAGCTTGTTGGAAGATGTTCGTCATTCAATAAACTCCTGCGGATTATGGCATATGTGAATCGATTTATTCAAGGGAAGAAAAATAATCGCGATATTGTTATTTCGGCCAACGAACTGAAGTTATCGTTTCTAAGAATGGTCCAAATATATCAAAGAGCTGATTTTGGTTTAGAATATGTCAAGTTAGAGAAATCTGAAACTTTAAGCCCACATCTCCAACGTCTAAATCCGTTCTTACACACAAGCGAACTAGAAGGCGTAACACTTCAATTAATCCGAGTTGGGGGAAGGTTGTTAAATGCACCAATACCGTATGATGCCAAATTTCCACTGTTACTGTCCTCAAAATCAGAATTTGTTTCGCTGTTTCTTCGAGACCTGCATCGTACTCATTACCATGCTGGTGTCAAAGTGATGGTATCACTTTCGAGGCAGCAGATATGGCTTATCAATGCGCGAGAAGCGTGCACAAAAGTTGTCCGTAGCTGTGTCCACTGTTTCAAATACAAACCAGTGCTAATGGGTCAGATAATGGGCAATTTGCCAGCCGATAGGGTCAAGATAGCACGCCCCTTTTTGGTTTGCGGGGTAGACTTTTGCGGACCATTTTATGTGTCACTAAAGATCCGCGGTAAACCTCCTATCAAGACTTATGTTGCCGTTTTCGTGTGTTTTTCGTCAAAGGCTGTTCACCTTGAGCTCGTTGTAGATTTATCAACTGACAGCTTCTTATCCGTTTTTAAAAGGTTCGTCGGGAGGAGAGGGCTGCCTCAGAAGATGTACAGCGACAACGCCACGAACTTCGTGGGAGCGAGCAACGTGCTCAAGGATCTGAGCGCAGCGTTCCACCGCAGTCAGGAACAGTTGAGAGGATACGCGGCTCAGAGAGGCGTCGAGTGGTGTTTCATACCGCCGAGGTCACCACACTTCGGAGGACTGTGGGAGGCAGCAGTCAAGGCCGCCAAACACCGGCTGCTGCGAGGAGTCGGCAACGCCAAGCTGACAGCGGACGAGCTCAGCACCCATCTGGTCGAGGTAGAGGCGCTGCTCAATTCTCGACCAATCGCGTCGCCAGGCAACGATCCCAACGATGGAGAGGCCCTGACTCCAGGACATCTGCTTATCGGACAGCCTCTGATCACGCTGCCGCAAGAGTCCGGCACAGACGGAATCTCCAGCAAGGCCAGTTGCGGATATTTGAGGCGGTGGCGAATGCTGTCCGATCTCAAGCAGCAGTTTTGGGCCAGCTGGTCCAGGGACTACATCGCCAGCCTGCAGCATCGCAACAAGTGGTGCGTCGAGGGCCGCGATCTGGAGGTCGGGTGCCTGGTGCTCGTGCACGAGGACAACATGCCCCCGCAAAGATGGCTCACAGGCCGCGTGGTGGCAACAACAGGCGGTGAGGACGGAAGAGTGCGTGTGGCGGAGGTACGGACGTCAGGAGGCGTCATCAAGCGCGCCATCCACAAGCTGGCATTGCTGCCAGTAAGCAACGCTCCTAACGAGGAGGTTAAAGCGCCGGAGGCCTTCAACGGGGCCGGAATGTTGGAGCAGTAGATTTAGTTTTATTGTTAGTTTTAAGGATAGTTGAAAGAAAGAATGAATTGAATATATGCAGCCAGAGTGTAAACAAATCACTTTAAACCAATGTACAAAAGCTTATCAGTTGCACTCAAGCTTGAGCATAGCCGATCTAGCTGATAAGCTTTTCTGTTCGTGGCTATGCGAAATGATATGCTGCTCTCGGGAGATGATTAACCGATCGAACCTCGAAGCAGCTGGCAGCAGCAATAAACGTATTGGAACCAAATTCGTTCTCGTCTTGTTTTTCGCCTTCTTAAAAATTCCCCAGCAGCTAGTCGCCAGTCTCATTTGTTTAATTATTTAAACGTAATTTTTTCCGGGAAAACTCTCCCGGATTCACACGGATCAAGCGGTGAACACCAGCGGGTGGAGGGTGCCTGAAAATATTTAATTGGCAGATCCATTCTTCTTCAAGCCCCAAAAAATAGACATGCTTATCGGCGCAGATTCATTTTTTGAAATTCTGTCAGTCGGCCAGATAAAGCAGGGGCCTGAACTTCCCATCTTACAAAAAACTGTTCTCGGCTGGATAGTGTCAGGGGAGATGTACCTCGGAAACCAAAATTAAGGCAGAAAAATCGGTACATCTCAGCTGCCAGGAAGAAGCGTTGGAGTCAATCGACACAACCCTGCAGAAATTTTGGTCTGTGGAGGACTTGCCGCCTAAGGCTAAAGTCCATACTCCTGAGCAGCAACTTTGTGAACAACACTTTGAGAAGAATACTCATAGACTGTCGTCCGGGAGATTTTCGGTTCGTCTGCCGTTCAAATCTGACCCGAATTCTCTTGGTTCTTCGTATGAAGTTGCGAAACGTAGATTTTTGTCGCTGGAAAGGAGATTGTCCAAAGATCCTTCCTTAAAAAAAATGTATCTGGATTTCATGGAGGAATATGCGTCAATGGGCCATATGTCTTCTACTGATAATAGAATTCCAGATGGTCCACACTATTTTATTCCGCACCAATGCGTGCTGCGGCCTCAAAGCACCTCAACCAAGTTGAGAGTGGTGTTCGATGCCTCAAGCCGCACATCGACGCAGGTTGCGTTGAATGATATCTTGATGGTAGGCCCCACTATTCAAGAGGAGCTGTATTCGACGCTACTTCGGTTCAGAATGCACAGGTTCGCCCTTGCAGCGGACATTAAAAAGATGTATCGCCAAGTGATGGTGGACGAAGCTGACCGAAACTATCAGCTCATAGTGTGGAGACGAGATCCTTCTGAGTCTCTGAAGATCTTTAGATTAAATACCGTGACATACGGAACATCGCCAGCACCCTTCATGGCAATCCGGTGTTTAATGCGGCTTGGAGAGATGGCGCAAGCTAAGTATCCAAATGCCGCAAAGGTCATTCAGAATGATTTTTATGTTGACGATTTGTTGACAGGCGCCGGATGCGTTGAGAACCTGCAAAGCCTTCGTGAGGAAGTTTCTCAGGTTTTGCAAGAGGCAGGTTTCGAATTGGCAAAGTGGTTTTCGAACTGCCCAGAGATCTCCGCATCTGACAGCGCTATCATGCCATTATTGGCTGACTCAGATGTGACTAAAACCCTTGGAGTGGTTTGGTTAACTTAACAACTTTGATTCGAATATATATTATATTGATATACCCATATATTTATATTAAACTGAAAGTGAATCGCTTGGACCTTTAAAAATAAATATTCGTTGACCCAATAAGTGCAAATTAAATCCCCCAATTTGTCGTAGAGAGCACCAATTTAGGGTTAAAAATTAAGGCCGAAAATAAAGTGATTTAAATAGTGCATCCAGTGAACTATTGTACAAAGAAAATCGCGGAAAAAACCTGTGCGCGCATTTTCATTACCAAATTTGCCGCGCTGTTCCGCCATTTTCCCAAGCCTTAGCGCCATTTCCCGCGCTTCTGCATCTCGCTTATATATTCGTTGCCCTTATATATCGGTCAGTGCATCATTTTCCGCTAGTCGGAATTTCCAAAGAGTGAGCCGCCAGCTAAATACAGACATACACACACACGCACTCTCACCCACGCAGCGCTGCCAGTGTTTTTTGATCTCGCTTTCGCGCTTTTCGTTTTTGGTCGCTGGACTATTGCGAGCGTTTTTTGTGTTATCGCTGTGTTTCGGTATTTGCGCTGAGCGTGTGCTCCTCTACAATTTGTGCGTGGGGCTTATTAGTTCCGTAAGGAATTAATAAATTAATTATTATTCTTCTAAACGACTTCGTTAAATTTGTTCGACAAATCCCCTACACTGCAGACGTTCGGCATATACCACTCGTTTATTTTTTTTATTTGTTTCAATAATAAAGAATAAATTAAAATTTTTTATTTTAATTTTGTTTTTTTTTTTTTTGAATAAAAAACTAAATTCCCAGCCTTCGATTGCCAACCAAATTTACTTAAATAACAAATCAAAATGAGCAACAAGGAAATCGAAGCGCTAAAAAATAAACGAGACGGAATTATGCGAAGTATATCCCGAACTCAACAATATTTGGAAGAGGGTAGATTATCTTTGAATCCAGTCGAATTAGAATGTCGTTTAAAAATTTTAAGTTCGCACATCGAAAATGCTTCGACAATCCAAAACCAAATCGAAGCGAGAGATCCGGAGGATTTGGTTCGGGAAGAATTGGAAGAGACCACTGTATTGGCCAAGTCCCTGCTAATTTCTTTAATAAACAAAACCAGGCGTACGAGCGTCGATGAATCCGCTCCACCGGCAAGGCGCACTCCCCAATGCCGCCTGCCGAGCGTGTCTCTTCCAACATTTAGCGGAAATCACTCCGAATTTAAAAACTTTATAAGCCTTTTCGAAACGTTTGTCGACAAAGATGACACTTTGCACGATATTGAGAAATTTAACCATTTAATATCGTGTCTGGCTGGAGACGCTTTAGGCACAGTCAGGGCATTTCAAGTCACCGCGGCCAATTATCCCTAGGCCCTGGCTAGCCTGAAGCGGGTGTACGATAATGATTGTCTGATTTTCTTCGACAATATATCGACACTTTTTAATCTGCCAAAAATGTCCCAGCCATCAGCTACAGCCTTGAGGAACCTGATCGACACAGTCAGAGCTCTATACGATTTGTTGCTGTCCATTGGGGATGACAAACGTATAACGAATGCCATCCTCATTCATCTAATCATGAGCAAAGTCGATGCAGGGACAAAAAGAAAGTGGGAAGAACAGTTGGACTATACTTCGCTTCCGCTTTGGAGCGAATGTGAGTCGGCTCTGGACAGGCGATACCAACACATGGTCGCCGAAGAGGCTTCCAAGCCGAAAAATGTTCAGCCAAGCCAGACTTTTCCGAAGAAGAGTGGAAATAAAAGTTTTTCATTGATCGCTGCCAGGGACGACTCTTCTTTATATGTGTTTTGCACATCAGCAGAGCATCAAGTAGGAAACTGCGCTTCTTTCGCAGCTCTAACAGTGCAGCAGAGGTTCGATTTTGCCAAGAAAGTGCCCTTATGCATTAACTGCCTTCGCAAGGGTCACACGGTGAAGAAATGCAAATCGAACAGGTGCAGGGTGTGCAAATCTTCACACCACACTTTGCTGCACATATACTCGCCTAAGACAAATCTCGCGTTGCCGCCTCCTCCTCAGCCCACGCTCATGCAAGAGACTCCATCCACTTCACATGTTTTGCATGCGACTGCTTCGGATAGAGTCATTCTTGCCACAGCTATCGTGAGCGTATTATCGAAAAGTGGCGAATTTGTTGTGGCTCGAGCGTTGCTTGACTCTGGTTCACAAATAAATTTTGTGACCGACGAGCTCGCTCAGAGACTACAAATTAAAAGAGAGGATGTGTGTATGAGCTTGCGGGGCATTGGTCAAACTAATGCCCAAGCAACAAAGAAAATACATACAATAGTGAAGTCGCGAGTAGGGAGCAGCCAGTTGTCGTCCGATTTTTATATCTTAAAGAATATTTCTGGTTATCATCCGGATCAAGCGGTGAACACCAGCGGGTGGAGGGTGCCTGAAAATATTTAATTGGCAGATCCATTCTTCTTCAAGCCCCAAAAAATAGACATGCTTATCGGCGCAGATTCATTTTTTGAAATTCTGTCAGTCGGCCAGATAAAGCAGGGGCCTGAACTTCCCATCTTACAAAAAACTGTTCTCGGCTGGATAGTGTCAGGGAGATGTACCTCGGAAACCAAAATTAAGGCAGAAAATTCGGTACATCTCAGCTGCCAGGAAGAAGCGTTGGAGTCAATCGACACAACCCTGCAGAAATTTTGGTCTGTGGAGGACTTGCCGCCTAAGGCTAAAGTCCATACTCCTGAGCAGCAACTTTGTGAACAACACTTTGAGAAGAATACTCAAAGACTGTCGTCCGGGAGATTTTCGGTTCGTCTGCCGTTCAAATCTGACCCGAATTCTCTTGGTTCTTCGTATGAAGTTGCGAAACGTAGATTTTTGTCGCTGGAAAGGAGATTGTCCAAAGATCCTTCCTTAAAAAAAATGTATCTGGATTTCATGGAGGAATATGCGTCAATGGGCCATATGTCTTCTACTGATAATAGAATTCCAGATGGTCCACACTATTTTATTCCGCACCAATGCGTGCTGCGGCCTCAAAGCACCTCAACCAAGTTGAGAGTGGTGTTCGATGCCTCAAGCCGCACATCGACGCAGGTTGCGTTGAATGATATCTTGATGGTCGGCCCCACTATTCAAGAGGAGCTGTATTCGACGCTACTTCGGTTCAGAATGCACAGGTTCGCCCTTGCAGCGGACATTAAAAAGATGTATCGCCAAGTGATGGTGGACGAAGCTGACCGAAACTATCAGCTCATAGTGTGGAGACGAGATCCTTCTGAGTCTCTGAAGATCTTTAGATTAAATACCGTGACATACGGAACATCGCCAGCACCCTTCATGGCAATCCGATGTTTAATGCGGCTTGGAGAGATGGCGCAAGCTAAGTATCCAAATGCCGCAAAGGTCATTCAGAATGATTTTTATGTTGACGATTTGTTGACAGGCGCCGGATGCGTTGAGAACCTGCAAAGCCTTCGTGAGGAAGTTTCTCAGGTTTTGCAAGAGGCAGGTTTCGAATTGGCAAAGTGGTTTTCGAACTGCCCAGAGATCTCCGCATCTGACAGCGCTATCATGCCATTATTGGCTGACTCAGATGTGACTAAAACCCTTGGAGTGGTTTGGTTACCTGGTAAAGATTACTTCCAATTCCGGTTGGATGACTCTTTCCAGGATCTTCGTCCGACAAAACGAAACATACTCTCCGTGACTGCGAGACTTTTCGATCCACTGGGCCTGTTGTGTCCTTTGGTCACGAAGGCGAAGATG